CATTCTAAAATTTTCATATTAACACAAGGGAGGAATACATTGTTAAGCAAACTGCTTTGTACTTGAGTGTTTGTGTTGTTCGTGATGTGTGATGTATGTCCTCTGTAGGTTAGGTGCACCTGCAGAGCCTGTTCTTTTGAAGTTTGCATTGGTGTTACAAGTGCACATAAATTTTGTGTTAGATCAGATGGTGTTTTCAGTACACACTTGGAGAAAAGCTCATATGGCTTTTTGAATGTCCCAAGCCTTTTGATTTATGATTCAGATAGATTTTCATATGTATATGCTTGCTTATTCCTTGATGATACTCATTTTGAGCATGGATAGAAGGTTTTTTTTTCTTGCAGTTTTGTGTACATATCGTATTTGTTTAGACAGAGTAGTTGTTTGATGTGCATATCATATTGAGGTTAGGTTAGGATGATGAGCCTGTTCTTTTCGCAGAGTACACCCATGTCTTAAGTGCGCACAAATTATCATGTGCAAGCTGGCCTTTAGGTGAAAAATTGGAATGATGCCAAACCTGATTTGTAAGACCTTCATGTAACTTCATGTTATTAATCTGTTTTAGCTCTTGAAAAGTGGTAGGTTACCTACCTAGAACAAATTTAGCTAGTTAAGAAATCACCTCTAATTGTCTCAAAAGTTAGGGATAGCTAATGAGTAAGTACTTGTTTGGTGTACCATGAGGCAATCTAATCTGTTGGCTGGGCAATCTCAATGCAACCTGTCCTCGTGGTAAGCTGAAAAACTGGGCCGACCAAGTCCAATAGGCGAACAGAGTGTACTCATTTTTTTTTAGGGGAAACAGTGTACTCATGGAACCTGTCCTAGTGGCAAGCTGAAAAACACAAGTGGGCCGGCCAAGTCCAATAGGCCAACAGAGTGTACTCATGGAACCTGTCCTAGTGGCAAGCTGAAAAACACAAGTGGGCCAAGTCCAATAGGCCGACAGAGTACTGCCCAATTCAGCCCACCAGATGATCCTATAAGTGTCTGTCAACTAAAGATTTCTGGTTCACTTCTAGCCTGAAGAGAACTTCTGTGTTCAGTGTTCTCATGGAACTTTGTGATCCATCTGCAATTCTTTCTTGTGATCTGCTTCACTTTTCACCTATGTTCCTGTTGAAGATATATAATTAAAACATGGCAGTTCTTTTTGTGAAAAGAGAAGTGGTGGTTTCTTTTTGTTTGTGGTAAACATTGGATGTCAGTGGTGTAGACTTCTTTTTTTCTTAAACCGTGTGGCTGAATATGTTGCAGGTTAAGCCTGTTGTCCAAGTAATAATGACATTGTCTGAACTGTATCGCTTTTGGTTGAATCCATGCAACTTCACAAGAAAGATTGCATGCTAAGGAGCTGGGTGCATTGGACAAATGAAAACTTTATCAGGTGGTTAGTGTGCTAACATGTGTACTTGGTTGATAAATCTCGGTAATGATCTCTAAGGAAGTGAGCCTAGCTCAATCGGTTGGGATGGAAAGTGTGCATGTGGATCCCAACCATCTAGGCTCGAGTCCTCTTTTAACTCGAGTTTGGGTTCCTTCTTAACTACAGTACCCTGCCCATTGCAGCGGAATTTTCTTAGAAATAAAGATGTTGCATCTAGGTCCCTAATTGCATCATTGTATGTCTGAGATAGACCGTCAAAACTGGGTAAGCTAATGAAACAATCTAATAAATTATAGGAGGATGTGACTGCCAAACAAACAGTATAACATTGCCTTGTATGTTGATGAAATGCTAATAGAATATTCGACCAAGTTATAGGAGAATGTGACGGCCAAGCAATAGTATGATGTGGATATTCCTTGTATGTTGATATATGAAAAATAATAATTGTACTTTAGTGGAAGATGATATGGCACTTAATTGGAGATGATGTGGCATTTAGTGGGAGGTGACACTTGGATAGCTTGTATGCAGAGATTGAAAAGTTAGTGGGTGTTTGCTTTTATTAAACAATATATAAATATAGATTAATGAAAAACTGCTTAGTTCCTCCTAGGCTGGGTTTCTAATGATCTCTACATTATGTACCTTTTGGTTTTGCTCTATCTAATGGCCAAGGTTAGGGGTGCACTAATTTCTCTATTTTATTGTGAAGCTTACAACCTTTTGTGTTTCTGGAAACATACCAGCCGTGTAATTTACTGTGTTCTATTAACCTTCTTATCAGTTTGGAGTTTGAGCGTCATGCTATTCTGATTGTAACATGGATATCTGGAGCCAGTCGATGACCTTATATTGGCTCACAACAATTTTTTTGAACGAAAGGCTCACAACAATTTGGTTGGAGTTGGTAGGGACTTGGCACAGCCGATCAATCTATCAGGTATATGCGTCTCCTGGGGGGGCTCCTACCGTTTTATCAAAATGGCAGGATGGGCATATGCGCTGAACTCTGTTTTTGGCTTTCTCAACTGAAGATCCGCCTATTTATCTAAAAAATAGTTATCTTTACATCAGACCGTATATCCGACCTTATCGTAGTTTGTTATGACTGAATTGTACTGGAGATGTATTGTTAAATACAGCATCTTCTTAGGATATCTCCTGTTCTTGCTCAGTTGGCAAATGGACCATACCCCTTTTCTACGATGGTGTGTATTCTGGGAAATCCTCAGGTAAAATATGCTTGCGGCGTCGAAATCTTGGCAATGTCTTCGGCTCTCTCTTTTTAGATATATCATGTATGTGTAAATCCAAGTTCTTGGCATCAATTCATCATTGCACTAATTGTTCTCTTGCTCTTGCAGGTGTTCTAGATACATATGCCTAATTGTATGTTCCTAGTCAGTCATCTATTCAATCTTGATGCACTATCTTACTGAGACTGCCTGATATACGGTATGTGCGTTAGCTTTATTCTTCTATACACGAGAGTCCATGCCTTTGATAATGGATCCCATTCCTATATTAGTGGACCTGATGCCCTTAATACAAGTGTCTGTCTCCATTCTCCAATGAGCGTCTGCCAGCATTTTCATTGGCTGCTGCCGAACACTCTGATATTCTAGCTCTGCAAATGGAAATTTTCAGGACAACTTTCCATAGCTCAAAATAACACGCCACAGAGTAATGTGATACTATGAACAGTGTGCCCACTTGCTAAAGTGACATGATTAATGATTAGCAAGTTGGCACTTTGTTTCTTTCCTACAATCGATCAGTGCAAGTTGATGCTGAAATACCTGTTCTTGTTACCTGTTCCGGAACTGCAATTCAGTCGAATTTTCTTTGCCACTACTATATCCACGGGCATATGATTCGCGCTGTTCAGCATCGCCCCTTGTCTGCCCGCAGGATATGAGCTGACTGTAGCCTGTTCGTTTGGCTGTGGCTTGTCGTAAACGATAGTAAATTTTTAGTCGGAACAGTATTTTTTTCTCACACAAACCAGCCAGCAGTACTTCTTCACAAACCAGCAACGAAACGAACCAGCCAACCGAACAGGCTATGTAAGTGCATGAAGGAAAAGGACATACATGGTTTTTCAAGAAGATCTGTTGGTTTTACATTGCTGACTGCCTGACTTACAGAGGCCATGTTTAGTTCACCCAGAATTAAACTTTGGCACTATGCAAAAAGAAGATTTCTCGTCACATCAAACTTACGGTACATGTATGGAGTACTAAATGTTGACGAAATCAAAAACTAATTGCACAGTTTAGTTGTACTTTACGAGATGAACGTTTTGAACCTAATTAGTCAACGATTGGACAATTATTACCAAATACAAATGAAATACTACAGTGCGCTACGGTGTCTACAAGATTTCAGGCGGCGCCAACTTTGGGGGTAACTAAACGCGCCCAGAGTTACAGTTGATATCAACGGTTATGCTTAAAAGTAAAGAACCTGTATTGAAGGTGAACGGCTGAACGCTCAACTGTGCTTGAATTGATGCCTTGATGGAGACTGTAACGTCATGACTGACAAGAAACATCTAATTTGACGTCTGCCTTCTGGACGAAATATACTTTTGAAATCTGAACTGAAAAGAAACATCGAACTGGACGTCGGCCATGGCCAGCTCCAAGAAAGACGTGGCCAAAGTTGTGGTGGCGTCCAGCGTCCTTCGCCCCTGCAGCAGTTCTGCTGCTGTTGCGGCCAAAGTTGGCAACCAATTTTCAGGAGCATCATTGGTTAATTGTGCCCTAGGTCTGGTAACTGACCGCAGAGAGCCAAAGACGGCCACCGTCAGAGCCGCACTAAGTGCCACTGACTACCGTTGCTATTGGTCTCTAAATGTCGTGGTGACACCCCCATTTGCATCAGCATCATGCACTGCCAGTCGCCGAGAGAACATTTTTCCTTTTCTTTGCGTGTGATTCACACAGTGTGAACTTGCCCGCTTTTTAGGCAGATCTTCATTTGAATCTTCCAGTGTCAAGAAAGAAAGTAGTGCTAGTGGCACAATGGCACATCACCCTGACCCAGGAACATGCACGTCCTTGTCGTGCCTCGTGCGTGACCAGATGTATCAATTTTTTTTTGCAGATCGAGGACACGTCGCCACCTTGCCGTTGGCTCCGCGGGATCTTGTGATGTCCCCAGCTAGCAGCATCGAGCAGGCGGAACCGGGGGAGGGTTCGCTCAAGGCCGTCAAATCCAACAAAAATAAATCAGAGCACTCGTGATGGTGAGAACATAAATTAAACCGACGAAAACTGTGGAGCAATCTGTAATGGATTGTCTATTCATCACAGTTCGTTCCAGTTCCAACATCTTTGGAGCTTACCGAGACGAAGGCGTGAGTTGTGAGACATTGCAGTAGCAATTTTTTTTAATAAAATGTTGGTAAATTGCATTGAGCATTTGGTCAAATCCATCCAGATGGAACAGGATGCGAGAAGGGACAACACAAGGCCGACACGGGAAGCAAGCAAAGGCGTAATAGTCGCCGCCTCTAGGTAGCAGCGGGTTATTCGTAGCAGCGGACGCGGTGACATAGCGGCGGTTGTCGTCATCATCTTCGTCGTCGGCGCCGATCGTCTCAGAACTCGACGCCCTTGAAGACCTTGCGCACCTGCTCGAGCGTGACGAAGAGCACGACGGTGAATGGCCCCTGGCGCATCACGGTGGGGATGAACCCCTTGTACAGCGCCATGGGCCCTTCCGACCTTACCGTCTTGAGGGCGCAGTCGACGGCGCCGGCGTACGGCGGGGGCGCGCTGGGCGCCACCTTCATGTTCATCATCCTCGTCTTGACGACATCCACCGGGTTGGACGCGGCCGCCGCCACGATGCCCGCGGTGAAGCTGGCGGCGACGTGCGTGGCGAGCCCGTCGGCGCCAGGGCCCCGGCGCGCCAGGATGGCTTCCTTGGCCTGGTCGTACGTGGCGAGCTGCGACGCGGTGACGATCATGGCGCGGTTCACCGTGAGCGACGACCCGCGCCACAGGCTGCGGACGCCCTCGTCACGCGCCATCCGGCCGATGGCGTCGCCGACGCCGGCGTAGTTCCGGCGCTCCGCGAGGGGGAGGCGCCCGTCCGCCTGCATCCGCACCATGGCCACGTCGGCCGGGTTGCCCACGGCCGCGCCGACGCCCCCCGCCACGAGCCCCGCCGCGATCTTGCGGTGCAGCGGGAGGACGCCGTTGTTGTCCTGCGGGGTCCACTTTGTCTTGAGGATGTCGTACAGCCCCATCCGCGTGGTGGAGTAGAGCGTCTGGCGCAGCATGGTGGCGGAGACACCAGAGAAGAGCCCCGCCGCGCCCTCGGACCGCAGGATCTGCGCGCCCACGGCCAGCGGCCCCGGCTTCCTCGGCACCGCCGCCGCCGCCGCCGGGATGTCGTGGTGCGGGAGCGCGACGGCGTGGCCACCGGCGTGGAAGGCGAGCGCCGGGCGTAGCGCTGGCTGCGGCGCCGCGGCGGCTTCACCCTGCAGCTGCATGCGGACCTTGATGAGGTCCAGCGGGTGCGTGGAGCAGCCGGCCACGATGGAGGCGATGCCGCCCTCGACGAATCCCTTGACACCCATTGCTTGCTTGCTTGTCGCCTCGGTTTCCTCCCTCTTTTTGTCAGGAGTCAGGGAGAGACGACGGATCGGAGAGCAAAGAAAGAAGAGGAAGGAAGGCCAAAATCTAAAAACGGAAGCTCAAAGCTTAGCTCGAGCAAAACCGAAACGAAAACCAAGGGGGGGAAGAGGAAGAAAAAGGAAGGGAGAGATTAGAGGCTATTGCTGCCAATAGGAGCTGGGGCACATCTCACTGGAGACCAGGAGATGGGAATGGAGCGCGAAGGCTATGCAGGAGGAGTGTGGGACGCTGGCCCTCTGTGACATATGCTGCTCGTGCTTCCTGTTGCTTCCTCCTCGGCGTCGGATGGTGTGGGGAAGGAGGCGGCGGGGAGGGGACGCTATTTATAGCTGGGTGGGTTGGCAACCGGGGGTGGCGCGCGGCGCGGGGCGGGGCGGGAAGGGCCAAGGAAGGAGACGGGCTTGGCGGTTGGGCTTGGCGCTCGCGGTCGGACTGGGGAAGGCAGATTCGTAGTCGCGGCGCGGGCGGAAGGAGGTGGGTGGGGTGGCGGAGGAAGGCGACCTGGCCGCCCGAGCTGTGGGAGAGCTTTTCTAGGGTCGCTTCGCCTTGACTCGGAGTTTGGGGTAGCTCGGGAGGGGAGGCGGATGGGGACGGCCGGATGTGGCGGCGTGCCCGCGACCGCGTCGGTGGTGGGTTGGGTGGCCCGCGGCCGACTGCCTACGGCTTCCGCACGTCGTGCGGCGGCGCGAGCATATAGGAGGGCGGGCGGGCGCGCAGCTGGAAGAAGCCTGGACCGTCCGTGAGCGGCTGGGCCCAGATCTGGACCGTCCGTTGTGGCCTTGGTTGGCCCTTTCCTCGATTAGGGTTTGGGGACGAACGGCGCTGGCATTTCCTTTATACAACACACATGTGTTTTAGCACCCCAAAAACACATGAATTTTTTAGCACAAAAACCACACTGCCAATGCTTCAAGGCATGCACGCGAGTTCAACTGCGGCCACTACTTGCAGCTATGGTGGCGGCGGCGATCGTCGTGGCAGGGGTGGCCGGCGCCAGCAACATCGGTTGCCCATTGCCCGACCGATTCTTGGGCGACGTGACCGTGTCGTACCTGCTTCGGCATTGGGGCGGTACCGCCACTTGGAGCACCCGTCGTTCAACCTCACTGCTTCACCACCGACGCGGCCATCGGGGTCATGGCGGCCGCTCCCTCACCGGCAAGAAGCGACGAGAGGGAGGAGAGATCGTGAAGAGCATCTCGCTTGACGCCTCCACCGTGCTCGTGCTCGGCAGCTTCTTCACATACGTCCCTCCCGAGGACCATAGCACTCACAGCACCTGCCATGCTACCACAGCTGACCACATTAACATGGTAGGCAATGGAACCAACCGTTTTGTAATTTGTCTTTTCATAGAAAAAAAATGTTTTCTGTGATATGTAATCTATGATCTGTAGATCTGTGATCTTATGATTGTCTGAATGTAGAAGAAGGCTAGAGGTGAAAAAAGGGTGGAGGCTGTTGGATCTTAATCTTATGGTGCAAAAAAAAATCATGTGTTGAAATTACATAAAACACACATGGCCGATGGTCGTTGGATAGACAGTTGTTTTGCGACGGACGGACGGACGGCACACGGGGCGCGCCGGTACACCCTTTTCCCACAAAAAAAAAGGAGAGGAAGGACGGAGGCTGGCTAGACAGGGTCACAGGAGGAGTGGAGGACACACTGGACTACTGGAGGCGTTGGAATTGGGAAAGTGCTTTTCTACGGCGGGGCGGGGGGTGTGCGGTGGCCACGCGCGCGCTAGGTGGCCCGTAGCCCCAGATACAGAATTGGAACGGGATGCTTTGCTTGCTTACGGTTCACGTGCTGCGGTGTGTGGTTGCAGCGGGATCGTTGCTTGTGCAAACGGCGACGCCGCGACGGGCCGACGGCCGCTCGGTTTATAAGCTTCAAGTACGAAATTATAAGCTCCAAGTACGAAATTGTTCCATTTCGCACGGGCTTTCGATCATTCGCAAATTACGCTGACCGGTAACCGTGAAACAAATCTTTAGATCATTTACATTTACTATCAATACGTTCACAAAAAAACACATCTCTATCTTAAATGTGCTATTTTGAAGTTTTTCTAATCGTTTGTTTGGGGTGCGCGACGGACGGGCGACACACGGCAAAGGGCTTCTCGTCCAACTCAGCACGTTATACATAACTACTACATGTGTCATCAACCTTGCACATGTAGATGTAGTCCTGAAACCACCAGAGTCGCCAGATTGTCACGTTATCAGCATGCATAGCCTCGAAATCAAACGGTGCCTGTAAATTCTCGTCTCGTGCAAGCAGCAGACCCGTAGTGGCCTCACCTACCGGAATCTTTCCTCTTGCGTGAAGCCACTGGACCGGAGCTCCAATCAAGCAGCAAATTAATAATAGCCTAATACCATGCCGATTTCGTGCATGGTGTTTCGCATCGTAGTGAAATCGTATTCGTTCACTGATTCGTTCATCATGCGTGTCCCTAGCCTATCTTTGCCGGCTCAACTTGGATTACTTGTCTGGAACTCGTAGTAGTAGGCAATATCACAACGGAATTCTCTACGGAGCGCATACACATGTGGGCCCTCTTCCACACCTGGCACCTGGGTCGGTTCCCTGCGTAACCGTGTCGAGCTGGCCCAGCTTAGGTTTTCGAGCCAACCGTTGATGATGACCTCTCGACGTCTGATTAAATGAAATGATGTTGGTAAAGGTAAAGCAACCGAGAATTCGTCAGACTAGAAGCCGCCCGTTTTACATCTGGGTATCGTCGCATCGGGCCATCGGCACATCACGGCATTAACCACAGCTAGCTGCAGTTTACAGTTCACACCGCGCCTCTACAAAGTTTCGGAGCCAGCCAACACGGCCAGCCAGTGCATCCGTTCACCGAAACGTGCCCACGCCGCGCCCGGGCCGATTGGAACGGGATCATTGGGATGGCGACGCCGGAAGGGGAGCGGGCGAGCGGCCCGCGCGCGGGGGCTACCCACTCCTACTCGTCCAGGCGTCCTGGCGTGGCGGCTCGCCACGTCCGCCTGCCTGCCGGTCCCCACCACCTGCTGCACTCTGCACAGGTTTAATCCACCGGTGCCGTTCGCTTCGGTCGGTGACAGTGTTGGTTTGTTGTGAGAGAAAAATCTTGTTGGTGTGGCTTTGAAATTTGTTCAACCAACGAACGAAACAGAGACGAGCGCGGCGTCGGCGCGTCGGCCCTGTCGCCGCGTTGGACTTGGACTCCCTGCACCCTGGCTGTGGCTGGTGGAACCGTGGAAGTGCCGCTGGTCGACACAGTGGACTAGTAGAGGCGCGTGGGCGCACGGTCCAGAGACGCGTGGGGCGAGCGAGGTCGCAGCTGGTGCGGGCTGATTAAAACTGAGCTCACGACTACTTGACTTGGGCTGTGCCTTTCGTTGCCTCTTTCCTGCTTCCTTTCTGACTTCGTAGTAGTGTGGTGTGGGACTAGTCACTAGTGCTGCTTTAAGCTGAGCCGTGGAATTGTCCTGCGTGAGCTGATGGTGCGTTTAACTAAATATCCAAAAAGAGGGCTGAGCCGTCGTTGCCTTTTGGGACGCTAATCTGTAGGTCTGCTGGGCCGGTGGAGGACGATGCAGCACGAAGGCAGCTCCGCAACAAGGCCAATGGTGCTCCGTTCGGCTTTTAGTAGGGTACCTTGTCTTTCTTTGTCTTCTATCTATATATACAAGTCCTGTGATGAGTAGTGGCAAAAGCATGCTCGTGGAGGTGGGAGTGTGGGACTGACGGCCTCGTGATGAGTAGGAAGGCATAGTGCCCTCCAAAAAAGTGTTCAAGATTGTTAGTAGGATTTATTTGGTTCATGTCTACATTTGGCCACGTTAGCTGCGACAAAAGCACGCCACAATTTTTTTAGGCACGTCTCCGTTTGGTTTACATCACATTTATGGCCCACCAAACTTTCTTAGCTCGAGTATGTGACACACACGTGTGTGTATATATATATGCGCGCGCGTGCGCGCACCTGGGTGCAATCTGTGTATAGAATGCACCCAGGCCAACCGGCGTGTCTTGTCTGGGCAATCGGCCCAACTAACCCACTAATCAGGCGCGGCCCACACACTTCTACACTCTCCCATAACACCGCCCACCAGGCGTGAGGCGAGCACACAATGACGTCTGTCTGAACGAGTTACAATTTGTGTCTGACGGAAGTTGCAATCGGTTGAAGGGATAAGTTGCAATTTATGTACGATGAAGATGCAATCGGTGACGGGCCGAGTTGGAACTTATATCTGACGAGTCGCAAATCAACCGTAGTCGGATGGGCAGAATCGGGCCGACCCAACCGAATACAACCGGGCCTACCACCAAGGTTGTAATTTGTGTACTGACGGAAGTTGCAATCGGTTGAAGGTATGAGTTGCAATTTGTGTCTGTTCAAGATGCAATCGATCGACGGGTCGAGTTGAACTTGTATACAAACGAGCTGCAACCACCGTCCCAGGCGATTACAGTAATCGCCTACCTAACCGAATGCAATGCCTACCACCAAGGTTGCAATTTGTGTACTGACGGAAGTTGCAATCGGTTGAAGGATGAGTTGATGAGTTACGGCTAAGGGCGGCGGCCGAGGGAACTGTCTGATAGTGTGTCTGGGTCTCGGGATATCTGGTAGCCTACCACCAAGGTCAACGGGTCGGTTGAAGGGACTCACGCTCGATACAGCTCGGATCAACGCTTGTCGCGCCCACGCGTCTCATGGTACAGGTGCATTTGCTATACAGAATGCACCCAGGTGCATTTTAGCCTCGTATCATATATATATATCTTATATATATATATATGGCCCTATAATAAGTTATTATATGGCCACTTTGAGTTACGATAATTACTATACTAATTTACGAGATTATGGTAATTCCCTCATAAGTGATTTACTATAGCATTATGGTAAGTATTATCTTGAATTATAGTAACCCA